TGTGTTGATGAGGTCTTACTCCAGGCCAGAGTGCAGTAGGGTGAGCAAAACTCACTGCAGCCTCAAACTTCTGGGCTCAAGTGATTCTCCTGCCTTAGCCTCCTAAGTAGCTGGGATTATAGGCCCGAACCACCACGCCCAGGTTTTTGTATTTATTCTGCTTGTAATTCGCTTTTCTTTCTGAATCCATAAATTTTGTCTTAATTCTGGAAAATTCTCTTGCCATGTCTTTTCCCTTTCTTCTTCTGGAACTTCAATTACACATATGTTAGACCTACATGGGAGTCTCTTTAAGTTGGCTTTGACATTTTCCATTTTTTGTTTATTTACTTTACATCCATGGTTCTCAAACTGTAGGTCAACGAATACTGGGAAACCAGAGTGAATTCACAGGGACACTGTGGGAATGTTTCATTTTTAAGAGAGATTTGGCTATTCTTTGTATAATATGCAAAATACTAAAATTTAAGTTATTTGAGCCTAACTACTTAATAAAAGAAATATTGCATATTTATTTTGCTCTAGGGGACTACAAAAATATTATTGAGGCAGTAACACATGAATGGTGTCATGAACTGAGGAAGTTTGTGAATCTCTATTCTAGATTTTTGGTATTTATTTTGTTGAGATTATCCTCCAGTCATGAATTCTCACCATAGCTGAAACCAATCTGTTTTGTATCCATCTATCGAAATCTTTTTGTTAATTATTATGTTTCATATCTCTAAGAAGTTTTATTTCGTTACTTAAAAATATTACTGGTGGATTTAAATGTTCTCTTATTCCTAAATTATACTGATAGTCATTTTCATTTCTTTGCACATAATTATACATACATATTTTATACTCTGCTTTCGAAAAATTACCCCATCTGTAGTTTTTGAAGTTCTTTTTCTGCACTGAGCACTGACTGTTGAGCACTGACTTTTGTTCATGGTGATCTGTTTCCTCATGTACGTAGTGAGCTACACGTTTTAACAATTCATGGAAATGTTAGCAATGCCTGCATTTAAAGTGCATTCCTTCAATGAGGATTTGCATTGCTTTTCCCAAGGATTTAGAGTCTTACCAACCTAGGTCCAAGCTTACAACTTATGGGAGCCACACAGGAGCTGTGAATTCACAATCGTGGGAGAGCAGTCTTCCAGTTAGGGATTCTAAGAAGCCTCTCTTGCCCCTCCATCCAGAGACACCCTCAACCCAGGCAACTAGTCCCATTCTCTCCTTCTGCAAGGCACATGTTCCCCCTTGGCCTCTTTCAGGGTCATGCCTTTAGGGTCTGTGGCTGCAAGATGGTCTCTGCCATCTTCCTGGCCATTTTGCCAGGTCCCAGGCTTTATCTCATATCCACACACAATCCCTCAAATTTGCGCTCTAGGGAATAAGGGATTAGAAGCTGTCCTAGGGCAGAACTGGCTTCACCATAGCTTATGTTTCTGAAGTAATATTGTTTTGTTGCTTTGTGCTTCTGGATCTTTCCCTTGCTTTCTTGCCAGATCATTATGCATTTAAAAATATTTTAAATATATTTTCCATAGTATTTTTAAATACACTGCCATTATTTCCATGTATATCTCATCTTAATATATTTCCAAAAAGAGCAAAGCATTTTTCTTATTTTTCACATGAGAAATTACCTTTATAGCTAGGTGAGATTACACTATTCACTTTCCTCATGAAAGCTCTCTGCCTTCTCACTCACATCTTTGCTCATTCTGTTTCCTCTACTCAAAATGTCTATGATGTCTATCTATGTCTATGACACATTTCTAAGTCTTACCTATCCTCAAAGTCTATTAGGCTATTAACTGTCAGTGAATTAGTCCAGCCTGACATAAGCTTATGCAATGGATAATATCTTCTTGTTACTTATATTAACATTATTGCTTCTATTAAGTAATAGATTAGTCCAATGTGATATTAGGAGTTCAGAAGAGTGATTAGAATTTAAGATAGTTAGATGTTGAGCTTGAAGCCTTTCTTAATTGGTGGCTGCTTTTGGGCAAACTATGGTGGTAATATTTTTCACTCTCTGTAGGAAGGTTGTTTCCTGGGGTTTAAAGAGCTGTCCCTCTTTATACTAACAGTTAAACTTATAAGGAGATTAGGGAATTCTGCGGGTAAGTAATTCTATGGGAAAAAATGCTACCTCCTACCTGTAGTCATCCTCAAACTCCCCTGCAGCTTCTGAAATTAAGTTTACCTGTGGCTTTCCTTTGAATATCTGTCACTTTCTCCCTAGTATTGAATATATATCAGTCCTTGTTCATTTGTGGTTATAGAAGTTAGTACTTTGACTATTTAGAAAGGCTTCAAATTTCATCATGGATATTATATTTTAATTTTTGTGAGACCCAAATTTGAATTCAATACTCCATGGCTGAAGTTCAGAAGTGACTTCTATAGTTTGTGGGAGCACCTGGGAAGCCCCAGGGAACCCATTAACAAGTTTATCTGCTTAGCTAAAAATGTGGTCAAACTTTGGTTCTTTGAATGAGAGGGGGAAAAAAGTTCCTAATAAGAAAATTGGCTTCTATCATTGGTAATGAAGAGAAAAATAAGTATATCCAATCAAGTGATGGCTTTGGCCAGAAAAAAAATATATACTTATATTTAACATAGTTTATAATATTATTTAATATAATACATAGTTTTAAAAATAATATTTAAAAGCAAAGATTCAGATTCTTCTGTAGTTCAGACATGAAAGATCCACCCTACATTCTGTGCCAAAACTGGAAAAAGCAACTCGTGAAGCTATTATAGCAAGCTCTCTGGATAGTGCAAAAATTGTTCAAGTGAGAGATAGCCTAGTATAGAGTTTATATTAATGGCAATATTTGTTTTAATAGCTTTATAAATTACTTGAGTTCTGTATTTATAGAATCATTAAGGATCCAAAGGGGTCACTTATATTTTTCAGTTATATTTTATTGCATTTTATATAGCAAATTATCTGCTATAGTAAGATCCATGAATAAGGTAATTGATGAAAGTCTCAGGGTATACCGCTTGCAAATGTCAAGGATTTTATGAATGTTTATTATGTCCTGAAAGGCAAAATTCAAGTCTCTCTTAACTTACTCCCTGACTTCACCTAACAGTGCTTTTCCCATAGTAGGCACACATTTGTTGAAATGAGTAGGCATTTCATTTGTTGAAAAAAGAATATTGTTCTCATCTTTACGTTTTTCCACATTTTGGCATTTCTCCTGGGGTGAGTTTACTTAGGTGTTTTCAGAGGAGATAAGTGAGGAATATAGAGTCTTTCTTCAGTTTCCATTTGTGGAATTGTAACAAATAAATAACATCCTCATTCATTATTAATAGGCTTTCTAGAGATCAAAAAAGTGGATTCCAATTTCCAATGAATAATTCTACTGGCAATTATTTGCAGTTTAAATAAAAGGAAAGGCATTTTATGTGGACGATACAAATAGTGGATAATTAAAATACAGTAACTGATTTCCATAAATAATGAAGATGGGAAATTATCTCTGACTTCGTTTGCAAAACTCAATTTCCAATTCATACCCCGTGAAGAGGATTAGCCATTTCCACTCTAGCCCCACCTCTCTAGAGGGGACAAGAGCACATTACGCATATTGCACAGTTTTCCTCTGGCAAGGTGCATGAGGGATCTAATTTTAGCTACTCACATTTGAAAACAAAGAACTAAGCCTGTATAGTTCCTTTAAAAATTTTTAATTAAGAGCTATAAATAATGATTTCCAAAATGCACATGCGCATTCTCAAACACACACTTTACATGCAGCCACATACAAACATATACACAATGTGTAGTCACAAAATACCCAATTGAGGATTGTGTAGCAGATGAGTTTTAGAACTGGGAATAAATTTTTCATTCTCAAATTTAAGAAATACTAACAAACTGGCCGGGCGCGGTGGCTCAAGCCTGTAATCCCAGCACTTTGGGAGGCCGAGGCGGGTGGATCACGAGGTCAAGAGATCGAGACCATCCTGGTCAACATGGTGAAACCCCGTCTCTACTAAAAATACAAAAAATTAGCTGGGCATGGTGGCAGCGTGCCTGTAATCCCAGCTACTCAGGAGGCTGAGGCAGGAGAATTGCCTGAACCCGGGAGGCGGAGGTTGCGGTGAGCCGAGATCGCGCCATTGCACTCCAGCCTGGGTAACAAGAGTGAAACTCCGTCTCAAAAAAAAAAAAAAAAAAAAAAAAAAAACAAAAAACCACCCCCAAAAAAAACAAAAAAAAAATTCATTGCTTATATTGTCACTTTCAAAAACAAAAAGAAGAAAACAAATTAACAAAAACCTCAGAGCTGATTATTACATAAATGAATGCAAAAAGATTGTAAGTTTTGGTTCCTCCACTTGGTGTACTGGTGACTTGGCAAAATGAAAAAATTGAATATAGTGAGGCAATGGGTAAGGAACTGTGCAGCCATCTTTTGTGATCCATCCCCTCATCCCAAGGCTTTTACATTGATAGAATTTCCCTATTAAAGTCAAAATGCCCGTATTGCATGAGTTAACAGTTTCACTCCACTCATCTTTCGCTTACAATTTTCTCAGGTTCTGTAGGTTCTGGGCTGTCAATCTCACAAATGTGATCTCAAAATCCAGTATTCCACATTGCAGTTTCCACATTCACATTTGTGAGCGCCAAGACATAAAATGTCCTGTATCAAGGACTACTTGTGAAAATGAAAGAGCATACAATTGGGGAAATACGGGTTTATGGCCCAGTTCCACCGCTTACTAGCTGTGTGACCTTGAAAAGTTACTAAAATTGTCAGTTTCTTCAAGCTGTAAAGTGAGGAGAGCAATAGAACCTAACTCGCATGGTTCTTCTGAGAAGCAAAGGTAATATTTTATGTGAAAACCCCTGCACGACTGCAGAGTTTTAAACCTTTCAGTCCTTAGCACTCAGAGGTACGTTGCAATGCTTTTCTATTTTGGTTCATTTATACACACTCATGGCCTCATTTTTGTTGTTCTTGTTGTTGTTTTCATGTCAGATAGGTAACGTGCCAATATCATAACCAGGTTCAAGGGTGGCACATCTCACACATGCATGCTAACACCCAGCCATCACGCTTATGAACCTCAGAAACACTTAATTCCTTTCTTTTCATCTCAACCTAATGATTACATTTTTAGCACACCTATCTAATTTATATGATGTCTTATTTCTCTGACAGTAAATCAACATTTATTTATTATTAACTGATGATGTTGTCTAATGATCAGGACCGAGACCATAGTGTGTTACGGATCAGCCAAGCCAAATGCTGTCATTAGACAGACACAGGGAAGAGTGGAGCTTGTTCTGCCTGTCACGGACAGAAGCCATTATCAATAACCCAATAATATCACTAGGGACTAAGATGAGATGGCGAGCAGAAGCTATTTCCTCCACCCTGTCTCTGGGCATTCCCTTTTTGGTTCTTCCTAAGGAGCCAAGATAAGTTGCGGTCCATAGTGTAAATGTTTCAGCACCATGTGCGCTTGGGAAATTGCAGGTCCTTTCATAGAGATATCCCCTAGAAGACAATTAGGGCTTGGTACACATTTCCTTCAGCAACATCTCACACCTCAGCCAAATGACTCCTCCCTTCCCCTTTAAATGCATGATAACCAGAATGGATCACTTAATTTTTGTTAAGTATGTCATGCACTTCAAAACCTCTGCAACCCCGCCTGCCTCTCTCCTCTTGCCAGGGATCCCTGCAGGGCTTTCTTACTCCTGATATCCACCCAAACTCTGACTGCAAAATCCTTGATTAAACCATTCAACAGTCACCTTATCTATGAAAAATCTCCCCACACTTTGCCTAATGGAAAATTCAGTCACTTTATCACCTTTTTACCCATGGCTCTTTTTATATTACGAGATATTTTTCAAAGTGCACACCACTGGACCCACTTGCATAGGAGAAGGATCTACATTGCATGCAGTCTCATATCCCATCCGCTACCCAGCCAGGACATTGTCAGTGAATATCAATGAGAGATACATGAAAGACCCTCTACTCACAAAGAGTTAGAAAATCTAAGCCCCTGTTCCTTAGATGAAGACTATCATAAATAGATGAAGATAAGATAAGATTTTATGTTTTCCTTTTTTTTTTTTTCCAAAACTCTCCTCCTGGGCTGAGGCTGTTTACCTCCCTGTATTCTGGTTCATGTGGCAGTGGAAGGAGGCTCATATGGTGTTGCTGGGTCTATCTCCCACCATGGCGGGGACCCAGGGTCACCATTTGTGGTGCCTCTTTGGCCCAGTGTCCACACAAACTGCTTTTCAGTGCTACGAATACCAAGGCTTGACTGGGTCAAGTGAAGGAGTCGGGTAGTGGTGGAGGGGCTACGTATTAGGGTTCTCCAGACGGACAGAATGAATAACATGCAGGTACACATGAAAGGGAGTTTGTTAAGGAGATCTCAAACGGAGGGAGCTAAGACTTGACTAAGAAAGTCAGCCTGAGCCACATGGATTTACCTTTAATCCATCTCAAACCCCATGAAGTGATAAGAAAGCCACGTCGGGGTGGGAGTAACAGCTCATAAGAGCACTGGCAAAGAAGTAAGAGCTATGCCAAGGAAAAAAATGTTGATGATTGTCTAAACATTGCACAGCAAATAGTATCAAAGTTGTGGGGACAAAAAGGGACAACAGATAAAACAAGAATCCAAAATGGATGCAAGAGAGGGCTTGAGGGACAAGAAGGCCAAGGAGTGTGAGCACGGGTTAATAGGGAACACCGCGTGGGCAATCTGAGACAGGTGCTGGCGTCTCTGAGGCTGCTAGTCTGTAACGGTTGATGTTTGGTGGCAGCTTGACTGGAGGGACAGTGCCTAGATGACTGGAGAAGCATTGTTTCCGGGTCTGTCTGTGAGGATGTTGACTGAGGAGACCGACATTTGAGTCAGTGGACTAGGATAGAAAGACCCTCCCTCAACGTGGGTGGGCACCATCTAGTAGGCTGCCAGCACTGCTGGAACAAGGCAGGAGGAAGAAGAGGGAGGAGAACTTGCGGCGTCTTCTGCCTCGCTCTCTTCCCAGGCAGGGACCCTTGCTTCCTCTCCTCCTGCCCTCGGGCATCGGACTCCAGGTCTTCAGCCTTTGGACTCTGTAACTTGCACCAGTGACCTCCCTGGGGCTCTCAGGAGGCCCCAGTCAGAGGGCTGTACTGCCAGCTTCCCTGGTTTTGAGGTTTTTGGACTAGGACTGGGCCACTACCAGTTCTCTCTATCCCAGCTTGTAGATGGCCTATCTTGGTGGGACCTCCTTGTGTAAAATCATGTGAGCCAATTCTCCCTAATAAACTCCCTTTCATGTGTACCTGTATGTTATTCATTCTGTCCCTCTGGAGAACCCTAATACGTAGCCCCTCCACCACTACCCGACTCCTTCACTTGACCCAGTCAAGCCTTGGTATTCGTAGCACTGAAAAGCAGTTTGTGTGGACACTGGGCCAAAGAGGCACCACAAATGGTGACCCTGGGTCCCCGCCATGGTGGGAGATAGACCCAGCAACACCATATGAGCCTCCTTCCACTGCCACACGAACCAGAATACAGGGAGGTAAACATCCTCTGCCCAAGAGGAGAGGAAAGATTTGAAAAAACCAAAGGGAAACATAGAAAATCAAATCTCATTCTCCATTTGAAGGAAAACACTCTTTTTAAAAAAGCAGCGTTCAATAGAGCAAAGAAAAGACGAAGACCTTAAACTATATTAATGTCCTTAGAGTAATTCTAGAAAATGCTAAATCTTTAAAAAGAAACAACTAGATCCTGAAATTAAGAATGATCTTCAAAGTAAAGTAATAATAAGGGTTAATGTTCTAAATACTAAAACAATATCATTATGGGTGTAGATGAAGAGTAACAGCTAGAAGACCAAACTAAGGGTTTCTCCTATAAAAATCATAAATAAGAAAAAACTAGAAAATACCAACAGAATATTAAGAGATATAGAGGAGTTCTGAAAAAGGAAAATTAGCAGAAAAAAAGATTTTAAAAATTCGAATAAATTTACTTAGAGCTGAATAAACACATGTGTCTTCAGATTGAAAGGATCTACCTCATGCCAAAATGAGTTTTAAAAGGTCCTCAAGTTTCAACATTACGGTAAAATGTCAGAACATCATACATAAACATTTTAAAAATTTCCAAAGAGAATATAGCAGATTACTTACAATAATATAGGGATTCAATTTAAATCTTATTTTTTAACAGCAAAACTGAATGCTACAAGAAAATGAACCAAGATTGTTATTTTAAACCCAGACTCCACACCCTGGCAAACTTGCATTGCAGTATGAGGACAAAATGAAGATTTTTGAACCTTCAAAGACTTGGAAATTTTTGTCATCCATAAATACTTCAGGGAAAAAAAAATATGTAAGGAAAATCCCATAAAATAGAAAACAAAACCAAGTAAAAAGATACAAGAAAGAGTAGTAATCAAATAAAACACTAAAAGTTATAGTCAAGTTTAAATAACTGTTGATGCTTGATGTTTTAAAAATGTATAAAATAACCATCTGGAACTAAAATCCCAGATGTTCTCAACCATGGAGTCTGCCAGAGAGAGTGGTGAGAAGTGTAAGAATACTAATTTTTTTATTGTTATGTAAGAGGAAGATATAGATATTATAGCAGTTCACAGAATTGCTAAAATTGTTAAAAATATAAATGTAACCACTAGAAGAATAGAAATAGATACATACATTTCAAATCACAAGGGAGGGAATATCATGGAATAAAATATAAAATCAATTCAGCCACAGGCAAGATCAAAAGAAACAAACAAACAAAAAACAGTAAAATTAAAGTATATCAGCAATCACACAAAAAAGTTCATGTTAAACTCTGAAAAATAAAATGCAATGAATGACCTGTAGAGTACAAGAGGGTCCCTGAAATTAAAAGACACAGAGGGAATAACAGATGAAGGATGGAGAAATGAATACTCGATGTGACAAAATAAGAAATAGATACTTGATCTTTGAGCCTTAATCCCTGTTATTTCTGATAGGAGTGATAAGTATGTCTTTGGTTCTAGTGAGGTGACTCTTTGAGAGTCCAAGGTCACTTCGGGAGGAGGGCTGTTTTCCAGGAAGACCAAAGCATGATTAGCCCTTTGCAACTTTAAGCCTCGTCCACGCCCTCTGGCGAGGGGAAAAGAGCTAGAGGTGACGTTGATCCCCAATGGTCAACGATTTAATCAATAATGCCTATGTAATGAAACCTTCATGAAAGCCCCTAAAAACTAATAGGTTCAGAGTGCTTCCAGGTTGATGAACACATCCAGGGGCTTGCAGGGACGTGCATCTGGAGAGGGCATGAAAGCTCCATGCCCCCACATACCATACCCCATGCCTTGCCCTGTTAATCCTTCCCATTTAGCTGGTCCTGAGTTGTATTCTGTATAATCAGCTGGTAATAATAAATAAAGAAATTTCCTGAGGTCTGTGGGCCTTTCTAACAAATTAGGGAACCTGAGAAAAGAGTTTAGGGATCCTGATTTATGGCAGGTTGGTGAGAAGAATGGTAGAAGCCTGAGACTTGCGATTGTCACCTGAAGTGGGGCAGTCCTGTAGGACTGAATCCTTAACCTGCAGGTTCTATGCTAGCCCCAGGTAGTGTCAGAATTGACTTGAAGCATTGGGCTCCCCATTGTGGAGGGTAAAAAAATTGTTTTAAAAAAAAAAGCTAACCTCAAACAAACAAAAATAAAAACAAAACAAACAAATAAAGCTCCATCATACCACACCTGGATGAGTTTATAGGAAAAATCCCATCTGTTTCAGGGAATAGGAAATGTTTGTGAGGGCAACCTAACTCTAATACCAAAACCAAACTACAAAGAAGAAATGAAAGGAGTACTTTTATTTCTCTAAGATTCCTAAATAAAATATGAGCAAGTCAAATTCAGCTACGAATTAAAAAAATACTATATCATGACAAGCACATTTAATTCAGGAATACTAAAATGGTTTAACATCAGGAAAGCCATTAATGTAACTAGATATGATAATAGATTAAAAGAGAAATCCAACATAATCATCTTAATAAAAGTTGAAAAGCATTTGATAAAATTTAATGACT